CAAGATGGCACGTCCTGGGGGGGAGGAAAGGGGGGGAAGGGGGGAGGAAAGGGGGGGGGGGGAGATCGCGAAGAAATGAAATGTTTGCGGAGGACTCGAGAGCCCAGAGGCGTTTCTCAGTTTGTTCATCGTGGCACGGATATGTTTGCCCTTCCAGATGCAGCAAGCAGAGGAGTTGCTTCGTCTGGGCCAACTCCACGGTCTTCGGTGATCCGTGCCCGGGGACCTCGAAATATTTGGAAGTCCATTATCAGTGTTTGCCGGGTGAGTCGGTCGGCTCGTCCGACCCCCCTCTCCGTTTTTTCGTCACGGCGTCGGCGACGGGTTCCGACCCGTCTGTCGGTCGTTGGAACCTGCAGGCCTTTCAAAGGCCTTTCAAAGGTCTTTCGAAGGTCTTTGAAAGGCTCGAGGGGTACCGAGAAATTTTCGCTTCTCTTTCCCCCGTGTGCCGCGAAAAATACTTTTTTTTTTGACACTGGTGAAAAATCGAATCGACTCTCGGGACGATTACCGCGCGTAGTCGAGCCGAGTGCCCGAGGAACGAAGAGTGAAAGACGTTAAACGACGTGCGAGGTGCGAGGGGCAAATCTCGATGGAGATCCCTAAGCGAATTTGTGACGATCTGCGGAACGAATTTCGTTCTTTCCGCCCGCGTCTCGTGGGATGGGAGGGCGAAGGATGTTCCTCGAGGAAATGGGATTAGTCCTTTAGATGTTCTCCTTCGGGCAGAGTGAGCCTTTTATTTTCCTACTCCTTTCCGCGTCTCTTCGTGTCTTTTTCACCGATAGGAACGCATTTCTCCCGAGATTATTTCCCCCCCGGGTTGTTTTTTTTTATTTTTCCTTCGGGAATCGGTCTAATGCGTTTAGGTCTGAAGAACCGAAGCCGTGTTCTAAAAATAGAGTGCGAACGACGATCGGATCCAGATTCCGGTCGGCACACGGCGAATGGAGATGGAAAAAAAAGTGAATCCTTATGACAAAAAAGTGTGAATCCTTTTCTCCAGCTCTGTTGGTCCTGGAAGGGGCCTCGAGTTCCACGGCGGGGCCTGCCGTTTCGTCCCCGGACGCGCGGCGGGAGGACGGCGACGCGTCTTCCGGGTTTTCCACGACGGTTTTCCTCCCGGATTCGCCGGCGAAGGAGGAAGCGAGCCGGAACACGGCGACGTCGGCGATCTCCATCGCGACCAAGGAGATTTCGATCGCCGATGTCGTTCCCACGACGGCGAGAATTTTCGGTGAGTCGATTCGACTTTCATCCTCGCGTGTTCTGTGAATTCCGTCACTCCTCCGATTTTACCTTCATCGATTTGCTAGTAATTGCTAGTAGTTTTTAGCGTAAAGGCCGATGCACACCGTCCGCGAAGTGTCGCGACGAAGCCGCCCTGCGACCGTCTGCGAAGTTCGCGGCCATTTCTCGACTGCGACCGTCTGCGAAGCGTCGTCCACGCCGGTCGCAGAGCTCCCGAGCCGAATCGAACATCCCCGTGTGCAATTCGTGAGCTCGTGCTGCAACAATTTTCCTTTTTTGTCGGTACGGAACCCGTCATCAGATGGGAGAATTCCCCACCCGACCAGAAAAGAGAGGGATTCCCTCGAAAGGGAGCGAAACTGGAGTTCACGTTTTTACTCCCTTAAAGCAAGGAAGTAATGCCGCTCTCCTCTCTCTTTCCTAGGAACAACCACTAAATTTTTCAACTATTTCGAAAAGTACTCTCCCTCCTTCGTTTCGCTCTCTTAAAAAATGCATGGATTTTGCTCTTACAAAGGAGCAGTTATCGATTGCATTTCCTCATTTTTATGGAGTAAATCCGCTAAATCCAGTATCTTTCTCCTATGTCCGTGGGAACGTCTCTCGATGCATGCTTCATACGAATATTCTGTGCATCTCAAATGCGTACAAATCATACGGCACTCGAGGAGGGGACGACTCGAGTTTTGCTCTCGAAGAACGGGTACTTCTCAAGTTTAAAAAATTAAAATTAAAATTCACGAATTGGAACGAAGGAAAATCATCAGGAATATAATCGATATCGAGACCTTTCAATCGATGGTGGCGATCGCATTCATCTACATCATCATCGGTCGTGTCCAAGGATTTGATGAGAGTCTGGCGAGCTTATTCTTCGTGAATTACAAAGGAGAGACATCTATTTTATTTTATTATATATTAAATATATATATGGATCGGGAGGCCCCGATCCCATGATCGCCCCTCCCCTCCCTTCGGTCGTAACGATATTTTTTCCCTCGTCGCAAGATGGTGGATGCACGGCTGGGATTTATGCCCCGTAAATGTTCTTCTGTCGGACAGTAAAACTTGGGGGCCGCGAGAATTTTTTTATAGCCAGAGAGATGAGGCACGTAAGAGTTCTCCTATGACCGAGCGAGGATTGATGAGGCACGTAAGAGATCTCCTATGACCGAGCGGGGATTCTCTTTCCCTTTTTTTTTCCATCCTCGAATTCTCTGCTGCCGCAAGAATGAGCCCGTTTCGATGCGTCGAACCGCCGAAAGAGATCGATGCGAGGCGAACGGGATCAGGAGCTGCCACTTGCAGGGACCGTATTGGATTTAGGGACAATTAGGCGCACGAGGCTTTATCGATGAAACGTCGCTTCCAGCGTATTCAAAGAAGACTAGTGGCCGTAACTCCGGACTCGGGTTTAATCGATATGTATTTTCTACTGCACGGTTTTGGAATTCCAAACGACCGAACGATGGCTTCTCGACAGAGGACGACCGAGCCGGGACCGCGGGAACCGAGGAGTCGCCGCCGTCTTCGACGGGGGACAAGTGTCCTTCGACGGTGTCGAGGGGTCTCACCTGGGCGGAAACGGAGACCGGGAAGGAAGCGAAGCAGAGGTGTCCGCCGTCGGTGATGGGTCGGGCGACGTGGAGATGCACGGGGACCGCGTGGAAGGCACCGGGGCCTGACCTCAGCCGCTGCAAGTCGCTTTGGGTCTCCGGCCTTCAAACTCGGGTACGTCGATGAAAAAATCCTCCTGCCGTGCGTTCGACTCTTCTCGGCGCGAGACGGGAGAGGGTGGGTGAGGCGACCGACCCGGCGGGAGGACGAACGCGTTCCTCGCGCGTGGACGTCGCGACGACGAAATCGTGGCTCTTCGACGTCTGACGGTGGATCGGGAAGCGATCGTACGAGTCGACGTCTCGATCCCATCGACCGCGTTTCGTTCGCGCGTCGTAAAAGGGTCGAAGCGTCTCTCATCGGTCGGAAAGGGGAAGAGGACGAAGAAGAAGAGGCCGTCGAATGTTGTTTCCCGAGGAACTTATCTCACCCTTCCACTCTCGAGACGCAGGATCGAAGGAGCCCGAAACGCTCGGGTTTTTTGGCTGGTGCCGACCCGCCCGGCTCCGTCTCATTGTCTCCGGGACGATAAAGTCCCTCGGTTCTCAAAGGACGTGGCCCGAGGCCAAGTCCCCGTCTCGGAAGCCCGTCGACTCCCCGTCTCGGAAGCCCGTCGACTCCCCGTCTCGGAAGCCCGTCGACGTCTCGCGAGGCACCGAGTCGAGCAGTACGACGGGTTTCGAGCCGAATCGCAGGTTCGCGACGGGAACGAACGGGGTGTGGACCGATCGAGCTTAGGATGGATCACGTCCCTCGGACCGTCGTTGCAATGACGGACGTTTATGAGGTAGAGGGCACGGTCCACCAGGTCTGTTTTGGGAGCAAGGAAGCAATCGATCACCGATAGACACTCTTCTCTTCTTCCATCTGCACTCCTCTCGACGCGAGGCACTCCATCCCCTTCTATTTACACTTCTCTCCCGATCGATCTTTCCGCCGTTCCGCGAGATGTGAGACCTCGGATCGGGGGATTCTTGCTCGTCCGTGCAGGTGACGTCCGGAATCCTGGACCGGAAGGACTTGGCGAGGGAATTGGCCCATCTCGTCCCGAGCAGATCGCTGTACGGAACGGACGTCCCCGAGATCGTGGGGATGCTGGAGGAGGTCCCCCCCGCGCTGGAGGCCGTCCCGTCGGAGGACGCGAGGCGGCGAGGCCTCGAGGACGTGCTCGGGGTGGCGTCGAGGCTGATCGGGGAGGCGGGGGAGGCGTGGGGGGACGTCGGGGGGGAGGCGAGGAGGGAGGCGGCGACGAGGCTCTTCGTGACGCTGGAACACGTGGCGTTCTTGGTGGCGAGGAGGCTTCCGGTGCCGCAGACCGAAGTGTTCGTTCGGAAGAATATCGGTGAGTCTTCTTCGTGTCCGTCTCGAAAGCTCGGGCCTTTCGTCTTTCCTCCTCCCACTCGTTTTCCATCATATGGTGGGGGGAAGGGGAAGGGGAAGGGGAAGGGGGGGATTACGCGACGCGTCTTCCATGATCGGAGCCGATGGTCGAGAAGGGCACTAGTGTTCAGAAACATGAATGTCGACATTTGTTGAAAATAATCGAAGAAGCAGTGAAGCCACTTTCAGAATGAAATCGTTCGGATAAACTATTATCGAAGCGATAGATGCATTTTATAAACACTAAATTATTTTACCGAAAGAAGCGAAGTTTTCGGAGCATTAACGTATAGCCGAATACAAATAAATCTTATGGAGTCCATTTTTAAGACATTCGTTGGAGGATTCCTCGAGTTTCCCGCCGTCTTTCGTGATACGAGCGGAGACCGATGAGGCCCGAAAATCCCCAGATTTTTCTTCACATCATACGATCCAGAGATGATTTTGCGTTCTTTCTCTCGCAGTGGCCCACGTGTCTCACGACAGGGGGAAATACAACGATCGGGGAGACGAACGGACGATCCTGTTCAGCGACCACTTTCCGGACTCGGACGTGGAAGCGGAAATCCGACTGCCGAAGGACGCCCTCCCGGATCCCCACGTGGACGTGGTGTTTTTTCTGATGAACGGCGGGGACCTGAAGGACATCCTCGACCCCGAAGACGCCGATCTCGGCCTCAACAGCCACGTCGTATCCGCTTCGATTCGTAAAGGTCGCCACGTGGAGATCTCGTCGCCCGTCCGATTGACGTTCCGGAACCGATACCCCGTTTCCGGGTCTCGGCCTCGCTGCGTCTTCTGGGATTACGAGAGCAGGTGAGGCCGCGAGGGCGAGGGGAAACGCCGGCGGGTTCCGTCTCGATGCCATCCGTCGTCTCCGATTCGCTTGCAGGTCTTGGATGGGCGATGGATGCGACGTGGAGTCGTTCAACGCCACGTACACGATCTGCGAATGCCATCATCTGACTCACTTCGCCGTGCTGGCCGCCACCGCGAACGGGGGGACTCCCGAGGCCGTCGGGACCGTCTCCGCGATCCGACCCCGGATCCACGTCGTCGCCTACGTCGGCTGCTCCCTCTCGATCTTCTGTCTGCTCTGCTCCCTCTTGGCCCTCTACGGGATCCAGGTACGTCTCGTCCGTCGAGAGTGCGAGTCTTTCGCCTTTCTCCTCCCCTCATCCTCGATCCGTCTCGCAGGAGGATCGATCGAACGTGCACAAAAACTTGTGTGCCTGTCTCTTGTTCGCCGAACTCCTTTTCCTCGGCGGGATCGAACGAACCGAGTATCGACTCGCGTGTGGGTTCGTCGCCGGCTTCCTTCACTTTTTCCTCCTGGCGACGTTCGCTTGGCTCTTCCTGGAAGGTTTATATTTTTTTTTCTCCCTTCCTTTCGCCGGTCGTCCCGAGGAAGAACCCGATTTCACGTTCCTTTACCGCATAGGACTTCATCTGTATTCGGTGCTGGTGGGAATATTCGAGGCCGTGAAGACCCGGTTGCCTTGGTACTCCCTCGTGGTCTACGGCGGTTCTTCGTCCGTGGTGGCGATCGCTGCGGGAATCCATCCTCATAATTATGGATCAGCCGACGCCTGCTGGCTTCGGTCGAGCGATTACTTCATTTTCGGCCTCGTCGGACCGGTCGTAGCATTGTTCCTGGTCCGATTTTTTTTCCCCCTTTTCCTCCGAGTCGTTTCGTTTCGTACTTTCCTTGCCGGATTTCGACGAAATGCAATTTTTGTACAGGGGACGTTGGTGTTCTTGGCCATGGCGAACCTGGACTTCTGGCGGCGTCACCCCGAGAGTAACGACGATTCCGTCTCCAAGGATGGAGTCAAGCTTTCTTCCTACAGGTTTGCGTACTTCCTAAACGAAAGGAAATCTTTCACTCGTGGCATGTGTATGCTTTTTCACCGTTCACGACGACTGTAACGTCAGGTGGTGGCTGAGAGGTTCCACGACGACGCTCGTCCTCGTCGGGATCACTTGGACGTTCGGCACTCTCTACATGCAGTACCGAGACGACACGTTCGGGTACCTGTTCGGGTTGACCAATGCCATTCAAGGACTCGTATTGTTTGCCGCCACTTGCCTCTTCGACGAAAAGGTGCGTTCCTCGACGGAAATACCGTCGACTTCGGTCGAGCAAAGGAGAGCTCGAATGCATTTTTTTTGACGTTCTTTCAGGTGAAGGAGGGAATGACCAAGAAGTCCCTGAGAATCTGGGCTTGGGGGTCTCTGTCCCGGCGACCGGACGAAAATTGCAGCCAGCAGTCGAACGCCGGGGGTCGTGCTCCTCACGCGAGCAACGTGAGTTCGTACCTCGGGTCGTTTCGTTTCTCCTCTCTCTTTCCTGTCGCACTGTCCTCGATCTCGACCCCTTTTTGGGGTGTGCATCACGGGACCGGCTCGGTCGTGTCGCACAGATGCATGGTTACGGACCGACGACCCCCGGTGACGGTGGATGGATAAATCACTCCTTTGCACGTGGTTCCGACCCCGGAGCGTCCACTACTTGCCCCTGCTCGCTTTTGCATTTCTATTACACCTCTCTACCCTTGGCCCTGTCTTCCGCTCCCTTCTACGGCCCGGTCTACTCCGTTCAGGTACGAGAGGAAGCGCTCTCTCGCACGAAGAAATGCGAGGAACGCCCGTTTGAGCTTTCGTCACTCCGGTCTTGCAGGAAGCCGTGTCGAAGGGAGAGGACTACGGATTCCACGACGAAAGAAGCAGCAACTATTACATCACGACGCTGAATTCCGGTCGCGCGTCGTCGTCGGGAAATCCCAGGACGTACTGCAACGTTCCCGACCCTTACTGCCGGAGGAACAAGGAAAACGTCGTTTTCACGGTCGATCGGCTGAGGAGCGGGAGTCCGTGGAATCACACCTACACCGAGATCGACCTGAATTCCACCGTCTACGCGGAGATCGACCACAACAAGCAGGTCTCCGAGTCCAGCGACGCCAGTCAATCCACCCACTGCAGCCTCAACGACCACAGACCCTTGATCGAGCAGCGAGGTTCCACTGCCCCCAACACGAAGCCCGTCACGATGCTGTAGACTCTTGCATTCTGGTGTTTCCGATCGCTCGGGACCGTGGGGATCAGGTTGCACCGCTCTGTGATCTTAACAGGGGAGGCCGAAGGCTTCCTCAGACTCCGGCACGAAAGATCGTCTCTATATTTATGATGAATTAATCTACCGACGATGTGAGTACCGACTGTGATAAATGCTGCGCGAAGAGGGTGTAAGTTATAAACGTACGAACGATGCATTCTTTTCCGATATTCGCTTCGCTTCGCTCGTCGAAGCTCCTTTGGAATATCGGGTCACTTCACCGATCTAGTCATGAGGATACTAGAATAAAGAGTTCTCATATAAGTGACTCCTGTTCTCATACGAGTGACTCCTGTTCTCATATAAGTGACTCCTGTCGTCGTGTCGGCGAGTGAAGATCTCGCTTCTCCGGGCCGTCCGCGATGACCTTGGGTTATGGAAAAAAATTATTGGAGGGAAAAAAATGAACCTGTCTTCCGAAGGCAGTCCGTTCCCACTTCGTTCTTGAACTTTTCACGAGACTTTATTTTTCCCAAAATCACTGAGGGCAACGAAAGTGCTTTTTCATGGACCACTCTAATAATTTTTTCGACTTTACTGCTTTATCCGATTCCCCCGAGTAGATGTTGTGGAGTGTTGCTTCGAGTGATGATTTCAAGTAGTTTCTTCATAAAATTAGAACATTTCAGACTTTCCAATCACTAAATACCTGTATTTTAAAAGGGTGGGAGGGTAATAACAACTAAAAGGCTTGCGAAATAGACAAAACATGCCGACTTGCGAAAAAGGTCCTCGAATTCGACGGTCACATGAGGAATGAGTGGCGTTGGGACTCCCATATCGTGAGTTTCATTAACGAGAGAGGAGATTCATGCTTAAAGGCTCTTTAAATTGTCTAAAATGGGAGCCCGGGGTTGTCAGAAACTTTTTTTTTTTAATGAAACACAAACTACCGCGAATCGCCAACGACGCCATTCGCGTTCTCCGTGACCCCGAATTCCTCTGAACGAGGAAAAGCAAGAGTTCTCTTTAACCTCGAAGCGGATTCCGCGAATCAGACGATGGAAATGCTCACTGAGCATGATCCTGGATAGCGCAAGACAGACGATCCCGCGCCTGGAATGTTCATTAATCTAACATGAAGCAAATGAAAAATTCATTTCAAGTGGAGCCGAATCCGTGAAATCGCCTCGGCGGTCGCCGCAACGTACGGCTTTTTCGGACGGAAAATCGATGAGGACGAAACGTTCGTCTCGCCCATCCAGGTGGCTGCACTTTCGGGATGAACATTTAAAAGATGCAAAACTCGTCTAATTTGAAATGCAAGGTCTTCATCCGGCGAGACACGAAAACTACGGACCGCAGGGGGGACTCCGTAAACATTCCAAACGGAAATGAAGTCTTTTGGAATGCTAAAAGTTAAGAACGGGGCCTTCCCCCCCCCCCCTCTCTTCGAAGGACAAGCATAACCGTACGAGACGGGATGGGCCTATACCTAATGTCTCATAGATTACATGAATGAAGGGATCCTCGTCGAGAACGACCCCCCTCATTTTGGATCTCCATTCTTTCGCTCTGATGAATCGGCTCCATACATCTTTCCATAATTACCGACCTTCCATTCCCAGCAGTTCATCCTGGTACATACAGACTCTCCTCTCTCTCTCTTTCTCTCTCTCTCTCTCTCTTTCTCTTTCTCTCTCTCTCTCTCATATCCATTCCAGTCTCCTAGAGCACTTTACCAGACAATTTCTTCTCCTCAATTTCTTTACCTTCCCCTTGCTCATCCTCTTCCCCTCGGAATTTCATATTAGCGGTAACCGACCGAAGTGTGTCTGAGGGCAACGGATGCGGCCGAGGCATACTAAGGAGTCTGGACTCTCGGGAGCGATACGTTGATCCAAACCCGCAGTGGCATCGACATTTCTTCGTCGCGAGCCGTGACGCGGACGGTCGTCGCCGGGGAGCACGATCGTCGATCGAGGCCGGGGATCTCGATTTTCGGTCGATTCGGTAACCGGTGGAAACCGTCTGGTTGACCGTCGGTTAAAAAAAAGAGGTATCGGGAGAGAAGTGTCCGCGAGAGTCAGCGACGAGGCTCTTCGTGAACTTCTCGGTTCCTCGACGGCTTCTAGTCCCGCAAACGGAAGCGTTCGTCCGAAAAAATCTCGGTGAGTCTTTCCCCACGACAGTCTTGAAATTCGAAAGCCCGGGCCTTCGTCTTCTCTCTCCGCACGTTTTCTATCGACACATGATGGATCCCGTTCCTCCGATCGATATTTAATTATATTAATATTACGACTTGCGTACATCTCATTGCTGATCTCTGGTACGCGACCATCGAAACCCCGACACTGCTTTTGGGACACCCCGTACGATAGCGGTTAACCGAAACCGACTTAGCAACCGATCGCTAACCGGTAGTACGGACGATCTTCGGACCCCTAATGTATGACCGAAACTGCGACGAAAGTTCTCACGCACCGTTTCCTTTCGTCCGTTCGTCACCTGCTCTCGATTCCAGCCGTGAAGAGGGGGGGCTTCGAGGCCGTGTGGAGTGGCTTCGGGGCCGTGTGGAGTGGTCACACTCGCCTAAAGGGGTTCGAACAGCGTATAGAGAGAAAAAAAGAAATGAAACTTTTCCTCGTTCCTCCCCCTCCTTTCCCTTCGCCCCCGTCGCATTTAATCCCGTGGGCCGCACTTTCGACCCTGGAGAGCCGCCGGTCGGAAACCCATTAACTCCTGTTTCAGCCCCGAAATTATGGCTCTGGGCTCGACATGCTGAGTTATTTCGGGAACGCGCATCAGCGGGAAGAGGACGTGTGGGAACGATCACCCACCTCTCCTCTACCGATGGAGACGGATTCAATTAGAAGCACCTGCACCTGCATCCGAGGGGTTGGAAGATGGATCGTGATTAGATCCCCCCACATCGCCATGGAAACCAGAATCCCGTCGTGACAGGGACATCCCTTCTTCTCTTCTCTTCTTCCTCCCCCTCCTCTGCGTGATAATGCGACGAATTGCATGCATGCTCGTGCTCCCCGTCTTTTCCGAGCCGTTTCGTGGGCGGCTCACGGGGCGGCTCACGGGACGGCTCACGAAGGTGGGATGCGTGCAATGTGGTGCGTAGAGAAAGTGAGTAATGTCGGGACATGAATCAAAGGAGAGACCGGTGGCATTCCCGAGGAATCTCATTCGTAAAGGCCAGGTGTGAAAAGGCGAGAAGACTGCGAGGGGAATGCGCTTACCAGATTGAGTCGTCACTCCAAAGACGCTAATTCTGAATTATGGGACCAATGTCCAGGCATTTGCATGAAAATGTTCGCCCGGCTCGGATTAAAGCAACCCTGCCGGGGTACCTGATTCATGTGGGCCCCGTGTCGGCCCCGCGTCGGCCCCGTGTCGAGACCTCCCACCGTTTCTCGACGTTCAACGCGTACGACTGCAAGCGATGAATTACAACGTTCAAAACTCTTTAAATCCGGATGCGAAAACACGAAATAAAAAAAAAAGAGAATGACGCGAGAACCAATTCGGAATCGCAAGAAAAAATCTCGCGTTTCTCCCTTTTCCGCGGAAACGAGGCCGAGGACTCGAGAAGGAGTCGAAAGGAGGAAATTGATGCCTCCAATTCTTTTGAGCGAGATTCTCCACGATGGAGGCTGGTGCTCCACTATAATACCCGAGGCTTGTGTTTCTGCTCGGAGGAGCATGAACGCCGAAGAAGGCTTTTCTCATTCACAAAGACCATCTTTTCCATCCTCTCTCCTCCGACCCTCGCGTCTTCGCACGATCGCGGCGATCGGGGGGGGGGGGGGGGGGGGGGGCCCCTGTGGGGGGGGGGGGGGGGGGGGGGGGGGGGGAGCCCCCGACCCCGAGCAGCTGGCCGTGGCCGACGGCTCGTTAAGGCCGATCTGGACTCTCTCTCGAAGCCGATCCATCTCGTGTCGTTGCCCGATGCCGATGCTAATGAGGTGCACCGAGTCGTTCGCCGCGATCCGGATCTCGTCCCGCGTGACACATTGTTTGCTTGTCTTTGCGTATCTGGACCGGACGGCCACGTCGCTCGGATGCGGTGCAGGGACTCTTCGGGAGGAGATAACGAGCGGGGATTTTTTTTTTTCTTCGTCACGAGTGGGGACGGGGCTCGGTGGGCGATCCGTCGCGGAAATCGGTCCGAGTCGACTGCGTGCAACCGAAGGACTCCGGAGGATCGGAAAATTGAAAAGGAGGAGACGAAATACGTGGTATTAGTCCCACGTGGGAGGGAAGGAAAAAGTAGTCCGTGCGGTGGGGAAGAGGGTGTATTTTCCCGGTCTCTCGGATTTGATGGATGAGGCGCATATAATTTGAGCGGCGTCAAAGTATACGGGGCATTTCCTTTCCGTCGCACTCGAAGATGGAACGGCCGACCGGGGGATCTGGTTTCGATGGCCACATTTCGGAGAGAGAAACGAGGAGACCGTTCGCTTTCTCGTTTCCCGCCTTCGTCCTTCCGTCAGAGGATGGAATTCGTCGCGTGCACTCGGGCGTTCCGGCGGATTCCTCGAGGAAAATCTCTCTCCTCTACCCGGTGATTCGCCGGAATGCAATCTCGAGCTGGGAAAGCCTTCGGAAACAATATCGGTTCCCGACCGCTCGCGAAGGAAAGAGACGGAAAGAGGCTTTCATTTCCGCTCGTCTCGGGATTTCCCTCTCGACGTAGGAGGAAGACCTCGGAGGAAGACCTTGGAGAAAAATGGTCGGAATCGTTGGAGGTCGATCCCCGCGCTCTGGAAAGGACACGGCTCACCCGCGCTTCCGTGAAGGAAACCCAGAGGCCGCCACTCGGCCTAGCCCTCGGGGCGATCCCATCTTCGTCCACGAGGTCCGTGCTCTCGGTCGTCCAAGGAGTGCTCTCGGTCGTCCACGGGGTCCGTGCTCTCGGTCGTCCGCGAGGACGAGGTGGACCGACGAGCCTCGACTCCGATTCGAACCGAATGCGGAACTGCATCGCGGTGGATCTTCGGACGACGATGCGATGGAACGTGGTGCTTCGTGCATCGTCATTCGTGACCCGTTCTCGTTTCGTGATCCTCTCTCTCGCCTCGGATCGTTTTTCCTTTTCGGGAAACTCCGTCCCGTAACCCCGGCGCCGAGGCATCGTCCTCGCCGTCGTCTCCCGACCGGTTCGAGCGTCGAAGCCGACGGGAACGTCGAAACCGGCGGCGGCGCCTGCGGAAAGGCCGGGGGAAAGTGCCGGCGTCGAGATGACGCCGATGGTTCCCCGTTTTAATTATAAGGCACGACGGTGCAACGTGGCAAGAATGGCAGTGCAGAATGGCC